GTTTTCTTTTACTCAAATAATAAAATGAATTTCTTCGACAGTTCTTGTGTATGAAGACACGCAAATTGTGTTGAAAGAAATACAGAAAAATGCAAACTGGAAATGCTCTTCATTAATTCACGTTTTTGTTTGTCTACATAAATCATCATGCATATATAAAGTGAATATTTCTTGGTGTAAAACTCAGATGCTCAGAAAGATATATCTATGAGATCACCTCTTTCTGAATAGAAAAATTAATGAATTCTGAAACAATCAATCATAGATGCACATGAAGCCAGTTATATTGTGACAGAATATATATAGCTAGTATAAACACCGGACTCTTATCAAATCAACTACTTGAATAATGACAGTATGTAATTTAAAACAAAAAAGATTTCATAATATTTCAGTGTATTTCTGTTCAGCTGAACAAGAATTTCTAGTCTGTAATGATTAATTTCTTTCATAAAAATATATTAATGAACTGCATAGTAAATACTAATTGTTATTATTCAATAATTTATCAGATCAAATGACTGTGTTCGTTTCAACTGATCTATCTGGTTTGCATGTAGTCATCAGTTTATAAAACAAAAAAAGAAAAACAGAGTAATAAAGACAATGTTTTATGTAAATCTGTTTGTACAGATAACAGATGTAATAGAGAATAATAATGAAAAGGAAAGTAGCTTGTATATCTCTTTTTTGATCTTAGATAAATATTATTAGGATATTCAACATATGGTACAAGAAATTCTTGATTTATTGCTCTATTTCAGACTGATCTACGAAGATAACTGAATGATCAAAAATTTGCAGTTACTTACTTATTGGAGCGAAATTAGGTGATCTGGCGTAAAGAAAATTAAACTAGCGAACAACTGAGTTGTAAGCCAATTATCTTAATCAGCATAGTTAGTTATTTAATTAACTAACATTAGTTTTTAAATACTGTGACTCAACTTGAACTACGCCCTACATGTTTAGGTGTAACAGTTTAAAAAATGTCATTTAAATTTCGCATTTATCAGACGAAATACATCTTATCTCAAAGTTATTACTATGATATATTGTAAAATCCCTCACACAATTGCGAATCTGGTCTTCACTTCTTATGGTGAATCCGTTTGTTGACACTTAAAAGTAATGTATTTATTCTGTCGAAATTAACTCCAAAGTGACAATTAATACCCATATATAATTATCAGTATTTAAATTCGTTTTCCTTGATGAACTCTGTGGTATGGAACTTCTGATATGAGTTTTAATTAAGTTGAATTGATTTATTAAAATCAGGAAAAATCAGTTGATAAATACTGACCATCTGACAAGCAGAGTTTTTCACACTCATCTGTTATTCTGTAATTTTAGGTTTCAAGTTTATATAGTCAGCTGAAAACAAATTGATTTTAAACGTCTAGAACCATAAATTTAACCAATGTGTAAGCTATTTGTCGTATAAAACCAGAAATAACTGATACCATGCAGTTACTTCCACTATTGCTTTCAGAGTTTGCATAAAAACCTAGTCACACAGTGAATAAGTCAGATTGTGTAAAAGTATTATAGTATACAATTATAGGACAAAAATCTTGAATTTAAGTACTTCATCATTGTGTGTACAATTTTAAGACGAGAAATATTTTCTTAAAAATAGGAGAATTTCCATGACTTTTTTGATGTTGACAGTTAACGTGACTTAATAAATATTGAATAAAATATTTTACAGAGACCGTTCTTGTAACTTTACAAACGTCACTTTCATGGTGACATTTCAAGTTAAGTTTCTCGGTTTTTTTTTGACCGCACCATATTGTATAAATGTATATCTTTAAACAAAATCTTAAAATCAAGATTCATGATCATATTTTTTAAAATTTTCCAGATTTTTCTCACATAAATATTTGTATGAACTAACCAGTCAGTAACATTTTTATAGTTGAAGAAACCATTTCGAATTATTTTGAAATTTTTAATATCGATTTCTCGGTTGTTCAAAAATAGAGTGTTGTGTTTTTTTCTCAATTTTATTTATAAATCAACCAATTCTATCAGATTTTTAAGCATTTTTGTCTAGCTGAACGAAACTTTTGAACTTATCAAGATATAATGATAAAACTCACTAATATGAACAGCGTCTCATCATGCAATCTATACTACGCATATGTGAAAATGAGATTTTCTTTTCAATAAAATTAAAGCCTCCTTCAAAGTGTCTATTGTATTATCGAATGCATAAACTCCGTGTTCTTTATAAGAGAGTTCGGAGAAATGATTCTATGATGCAATAAACCAAATATGAAACTACAGCACCAAAAAATGTTTCAACCACGTTTTCTTACAAAAGCGAATCTTTTAATTTTGGTCCATTTTCTTCTAGTATTCATTAGATGTTTATTAAATTGCAAAATATATTCTAGTGACCCTGGACTTGACTTTAATGTGAATGAATAATTATTCATGCTAATGAAATAAATCCTCCATCTAACATCCGTTTATTATCGGCAGGTGAATGCCAGTTGTAAGATTGAGGTAATGAAGAGCCCGATATTGTCTGATTTGGATGGGTTTAGTTCAGACACTGGCGTTTGCAGATATATATATAATTAAAGTAGGCGCAAAAACTAAAAGAAGCAAAGCAAAGTGCAGAAGGAGAGTTGGCCAGATCAGTTCACTGAGACATGACTAATTACTCATAGTCAGACAAAAATAAGCTAAACATGTGATAAGCGAAGTGAGCAATGCAAACGCGCTTAAATAAAAACATTCAAGGTTATAAGCGAATAAGTGACAGGATCAAAATATAGGTGTTAAATTAATAATTATGCCTTTTAAGATAGTTTAAAACATTCCAGTTCAAATTTTTCTGAAATCCTTAATTTTAAAACATTCTTTAACCTAGTGACACTACAGATTTTGGATGAACTCATCAAATATTACCGCTTATATTTTCGAGTGAAATTTACTGATTGTAACGGACTCAAGGCATGATTACATTAAAACTGGTCTTGGTTCGTGATTAAAACCGTATCTGTACAGTCATAATCCTAGCGCTAAATACCTAACACAAAACTAGAAATAACGTTGGAATTCCTAAAAATTCTGCTTACGTCTTTTTAAGAGTTTCGGAGAGTGAACAATCTTCATTCAATTGGATGACCTCAAATATTGAGATGGTGGAGAGAATTTGTTGCTCATGTGGATGATTGTGGTGGTGTTTTTTTCTCTGACCAAGACATCTAGCTCAGAGAAAGACTCCTCACCACAACCTCAAATATTTTTTATTTTTCCAACTGAGGCAGATAAACTTGTAGATTACATGATCAAACAATTAGTTTAAACTTTCCAATAAATTATCTTTAACTAAAAGCTGCCTGCTGATTCTCCAAGAACTGAACAAACATTGGTTGCAGTTGTTTTGAACTCATTCTTGTATAATACTGTTACTAAACCCGATTGACTGAATAACTAATTAAGTTATCAGAAATCCTTCTAGATGTTTTAAATTATAAATTGCTGATGTATACATGTATTACAAATCGCGTATTGTAATAGAAATAATATTTTGAATTATGTTTGGTCAATAAACTGGGTGCATAGTTGGTTGTTACAACTATTTCAAGAATAACTTGAAACTATTTTTTTGAAAACATATTATGAACATTTTCTTTTACATTTGTTCACAGTTTTATGATTTTTTAAAAAAATGAATTTTATAAATTGTTCGACTGGGATACATAATCTCAACCACTTTCCTAATTTTCTACATAATATATTTTAGCGATAAGAAAAACATTTCGAAAAGAATCTTATTTGTTTTTTTAGAGACAAAGTGTAAATTGAAGCAAATTCATGTTGTTTTGTTTTACAAACCTAATTCACAATGTCATCTTATACACCGACTTTGCAGAATTTGTTTTGGTCAACAGAAAGTGATAATCTACAGTTTTTAATCTTTTATTAAAATTAAACCACCACAAAAAAAATGGGTATCAAATAATCAAGCCGAGATTTACTATTTTGGAAATTCATCAATATCGGTACTTGAAAAAATTTCAATGAATAATTGTATGTTTTCATATTGATTATCAGTAATATATGACCACTATCAAGAGAAAATTACATGCTTATTATCTTCAAAAGATAATGAATTCATTTTTGAACAAAAAGTATATTTAAAAGTATTTTCCAACAGTAAATATGAAAAACTGAAAATTTTCATTACTTTGATCTGTTTTTATTTTCAAGTAGCAATAAATTTTATTACACACATTTTAATTGCATTTTTATAAACAATCATTTAAAATTCACTGGTACAGATTTTCAACGTGAAAAAAATCAGATATCTTTTTTCTTTAATGATTAATTTATGAAGAATCTTAGGTTTTTTAGTCTTTTAACGGTGACTATAACTCTGTTTGTTTTCAAATTTAGTTAAATTTCCTTATGGCTATAAGTGAAAACTTGGACTCATATTTCATTCTCTTCGGGACTCTTCAAATGACTGGACTGGCATCTCGGATTTGATACTTACTCCCAGACCAAGTCCCAGTGCCTTTCTCTTCGAAAGCCGTCATACTATACAATACCCACTATGAGATAAGGTGAATTTTAAACTCATATGGACTGGATTTTTGGACATGAACTAAAGTATATTTATGTTATGTCACGATCTTCAATTGCCTGACCATAAAAATTTTGTACGATAAGTATTTTTACCGCAAGTTAGATGTTCGTTAACTAGCAGTTTCACCAAAATTGTCTCATTATCACTCTACTGAAAGACGCTGATGTTCATCGTGATTCATGGTATAGACTTTGGCGATTTAGAAGTGTAAATTAATTTATTTCATTATCAATATTTCATTATCAATAAGTGTCGAAAAATCAACCGGTAAATTCTCTTCTAAAATATGAATAAAATAAATATAGTTAGCTGATCAATAAATAACCCCATCATCAGTCTGTGATATTTAATAGTATGAAGGTAAAAATGAATACGGTAAGTAACTTACCATTTAGATATTGTTGGTGTTACAGATCTTCCAGAAACATATGCATTAATTGCTACAATTAAATCAATTAACAGAGGTATAATTGTCAAAGCTAAAAACCAAAATCTCATATCTTGTTTCTCTTTAACAACGCTAACAATAGCGGTGCATGTAAAACATATAAATCCAATACGTACAATGATCGCTCTAAAAGCAATAACCAATTGTACAAATGTAATCCAACTTTTCCAACAATATTTACCATATTTATGTGTTCGCCATGATGGTACATGAGTATTGGATTTGGTTGATAAAGCAATGCTTGCATTATTACTTCTGTTGTATGTTTGTAAATTTGATAATTTCAATGGTTGATTAATTGATAAACTATGCGATGAATTAGATGGTTTAATTTCTAAATAATCAGTGATAGATTGAATAGAATTTTCTGAATCACTCGATTGATTATTACTGGTTGTAGAGCTTTGTGAATAACTTATAGATGTGTTTGTTTTATTCAGCTTTGTTGGATGATCTCTAGTTACTGGTGTGGCAGGATGAACTTCTATAATACACGATGATTGCATGATTCATAAACTTACTGATTAGGCTATTTACATAAGAATCTGTATTTGAAAAGAAAAAGAAAAAGGAATATTATTGATTGCAAACGAATAAGTAATCTAATTTTACGTTTTTTTAAAAAAAGGTATGAATTTACATCAACTATGTCTAACTTCATTCATTTGTCTACTACATAGAAATGCATAGCTTCAGGTTGTAATATAAGTTCGAATGCCTTTAGGAAAAATTTTTTAGTTTAAGGTTTTAGATAAACTTTATAAAAGAGTATTTACAAAAACCAATTCTAGATTTACGAGTGTTGAGAAAGTTATATCATGCTGAGTAGTAGTTAAGGGTTGGTGTTCAGTTACAACAACGGACTGAATAGCATTAAAATACTGAATATTATCTCGTATATCGTTTATTGTTTAATCTACCTGATATCAGCCTTTTATCAGCCACTAGTTTAAATACTGCACGTACAGTGTTACAGCAAGAAAAGCATATTTTTTCAACTAATATTTGAAACTTTTGGTAAAATTACATCACTATTACAATGAATAGAATATGAATTCTAACGTAAACAACCGTTACTCAATTAGTCTGAAAGTACGATGTGCAAACTGGTGAGCTGGGATTTTTTATGATACTTGAAATAATATAGCTTTGATTTTGAGTAACGTAATATGTCTTTAAAGAGCTAAGAATTCTCAAACTAAATAGCAACACTTTTATAGATATCGTCTAAATTTCAGTGGCTCCTACATCGACAAAGATTTTTGCTACACTAAAACCAGCTCTAAGAATCATCAGATATCGATTAAGGAAGAATTATTTACTTTAAAACTTTGATAATATTTGACAAGGATGTTTGTTTAGCCTTCTGTCTCTTTAATCATCTGAATTAACTTTGTATTCTCAGTTAGATTCATCAAAACATAGTTGCCTACTTTTTGCTCTAATAATCTTTTCAATTTTTTTAAATAATGCCAACAATAATAAAAAAAGGTATTTTTCTCTAGCACATTTATGAATTTGTTTGCTATCAGTTCTTTTTTATATTGAATTCCTTATGAAGACAATTTCCGAATAGAATCTTTTAAATCATCATACAATCTAACTTTTTGGATGAAACTAAGCATTGCCTATTCATGACTTTGCTAGAAATTTAAAACAGGTTCTTTTATTGATTATCATCAAGCTACAAACAATAGGTACACTTTAGGATGAGAGGTAACACAAAATGTAGTCGATAACTATGCATTTCATAAGAAACATCAATTCTTATTTACTTTACAACTCTTACAAATCAAAACAGGAGTGATCCTTGATGAAGCCGAAAACTGATTAAATGTGTCTAATATCTTGTTATTTACATGTTTGTGTTAGTCCAGGTCGATGAATTAGGTGGTAACTTTCGACAGTGAATGATGTTGTTGAATGATGCTGTTTGAAATTCAGTCATTAAAAGCAATGGATTGCAGTTTTCTTTTTTTTGACATTTAGCAATCAGAAATCAATGTGAATTTCATAGATCTGATGATACAACTAAGATCCTAGCTTACATCATTCAATACTACGCGATTACTGCCTGATTTTTTGGTCATAAAACTCCCACACTTATTCGGTAATAATGTCAAATACCACACTAGGTGTCTATAACAAACAGAATCCCTACAATACAATCAAAGTCAGGGTGTTAACTAACATGTTTCAATAAGAAGCTGTTAATCTAGGCACTAACTAGTTATCAATCGTGTATTTAAAAGATTTTTTCAGTGAATCATTCAATAATTGAATAAGTTGTCTTTCATGTAATATTCATTTGCCAACATGTTGCAACCCGGAGTTTTGTTTGACTAGTTTAGCCGTTGTTAAAAATATCACTAACTGAACAGTAACCGCGGCTTACTTATACTATATGGTAGTTAAGTAGTGTAGAAAATTTTAAATTTTCAGTGATCACATTATCCGAATAGCTTTATAACTTTTAGTAATTAATCAAAGATAAAGTACTATCAGTAAATTTGTTTTAAAAAAAAATTTAAAATCACTTCATTGATCAATAGATTCAGCCAATATAACTACTGCCATTACCATTATTATTATTATTATTATTATTATTATTGTGTTCATTAATGTATGCTAATATTTATTACTATTTCCAATTAACTTTTAATTATTTACTTGGTTTATTTTGAACTTTTTTTGTAAACTGGTTCTAGGAAAATCTTAAATTACATTTTCTTCCCATTCGCACCGAGCGTTAACAGTGAACCAATAAATTATAACCTATTTTATGCAAATGATTGTTCTTAGTTAGTTTTAAAAATAACCTATAAAATTATTTTGTAAATTAAAAACATGACTAATTTTAATGTGCCGTCAGTTTTCAAAAACTGCCTAATTCGTTAAAGTACAAAAATAAGAATAAAATGTTAGGTTAATTACATTACTAATTATTTACTAGCTAAAATAACTTTTCGAATTCGGTTAGCGCCGAAAATGTTCCAGATCAAAGGAAATCGATTCCCTTGTGTTTGATTGTAAATGGTTTAAACTGAATTCGTTCAACTTTCTCTGACAACAAAAGGAAGTATTTTTTTGATCACGTGTAGTTGATTTATCTATGTGTAATTATTGCACACCTGAAATCTTTATGATATTCACAATTTCTGTAGCTGAATTACGCAATCCTGATAGAGAGTTTATTTCCTTAATTTTTATACAGTTAATTGTTCATGACCTTCAACAAGAATGAATTAATGCACGAACTTTACAGTTATTCTAAAGTTTCATTGATTTTCAATCTAGTAACAGTACTTGAAAAAAAGTGGACAATAGAGTCATGAAACCAAATGAATTTGTGCTAACTTCATATTTGTTATTGATTGGTTATGAGACTGACTTCTTTAAGCTCTAATGTCAGGCTTCAACAAGTAAGGTCAACCTAGGAAGAAGTAAGACAGTATGCATACAAATTGATAAAGTTAATTTCCACATTGCTGTTAACTGGGGAACGTAGCCTTCAATTTGTAGAACCTTAATGAAACAAATGTCCAAGCATTAAGTTGTGGCGTTAAATTTTCGTTATCTTCGATTTCCCGTAAACCTCCGTCTTGATGATCGCTACGAGAGAACACGAGTCATTGCCACAGTTTCTTTATTATTCAAGTTATTTTGTGATCAATACAAATATCGGATTTAATTCAAATATGTACAGTCGATATTGACATCGAATTATTCAAACTGTTAATCGATACAGCTAGTCAAAAAACAATATATGTGTAGGTGGCAAGTAATGCCCAAGCGTACATGCGCATACAAGCTCAACAATGAAAAAAGGACAAGATATATGTGAGGTGCTACAAAGTGACCTAACATTGGCAAGTAAAACACTTATTCATGACTGATATTCACACAAACTGTGGGATAGCTAAAGCTTATCGAAGAACTAATGTAGAAAAATGTCAAACCAAAAAGAATTAACTTCCTTGAGTCATGCCATACATTCTACAGTATAAGTTTCCTTCTGTTTTACTGCATCAAGAGTATTGTATTCTAAGCTGATGAGTTTCAATGAATATGAAGACGACGTTATGGAATTATTGCGGATTATTTCGGATTACTTATAGAACATATTTATTCCAACAGATATTGGATTACTCAGACTAATGTCCACGTTGTAACTCAATTAATTAAACTCAGTATGAACTGAAAGAGTAAAGAAACATGACGTTGATCGCCATTCAGGGGTCTATTAGCACAAATCACTCGATAATCCATTTTTTTTCTACTGAATGAACTACTAACAGGAGCACAAAAATGATGAATAAATAAGTAGTACTACATATGCGCAATATATTTTTCTTGTTATGTTCCATGAATTTAGTTTAAAAATTCAAAATTAATCAAGTGAATAGAAAGTAAAAATATTCATTTACATCATTTACAATGTGATTCGTTTTAATGCACAAATTCAATTCTGGCAGATTGGTCAAATTAATACACACACAATAGATATCAGTTAACTGAACAATTTATCATTTTCGACTTACTCATTTATGTATCGAAAATACAAAAGTTGAGATTGCAGATCCATACATATGTAATAGATATGTGATAATGAATGAAAAACATGTAATTTAAAGAATAGTTGTAATTTCAATCGAATTCAGATGTTGGATAGAAAATATTTTTATTTACTAATGCTATTTTAGTGTATTAGGTAGATTATTTGATCTGCATAGAAATGTCAGTCTTTACAATAAAAAATAACTCTATCAATATTTTGTTTATGAGGTAGTGAATAAAACTAGAATGAACTATATTGAATAAATCTAAGATACGTGTAAATCGATTTGAAAATGTTACAGTTGCTGAATTTTTAGGACTTTATTTGTTCATAAGGTTCAGTATCATTTCAAACAAAGCTTTTAGTGATCGTACTTTATGGAGATAATTAAATTTACCAATTTCTAACCAGTGACTTTTTAAAACGGTTGTCGTTGCATTCTACTAAATCGTACTAGGACAATAAATTTCCTTCTATACAATACTTTGTGACAATTAATGAAAAGGTTATTCGAGAATCACGAGTATATTTATTCGTTCGATATGAGTACGCAAATAATGACACTTTATGTCAGGTTTTCGAAAGGCTTTTTTCGATCAAGTTAACACAATGATTAGAAGGATTTTTTAGTCTTACGTGCTTTATAAACTTCAATGGTGTAAAACTACCAAATATGGAGACAAATAATAACAAGCTTAAATCGTTATCCGGATTAGTGTAATACTAAGTAGGCAACAAACTTATCACATACTATGATAATACACTGAGAAAATTTGTACATTTCGAATATCAGTCTCGTTAAAGTCAAACAAATTTGAACAGCAACAGGTTACATTAAATGAACTCACTTGAAATTGACAGGAAGACATCACTGAAAAATATAATATCCACTGGGTAAAACTGTTGTTTTATTATTATTATTATTATTATTATTACTGATATTCTTATTTATTGTCTGCTAAATCAGTTATGTCATTCTGTGTTTTT